TGTGTGTGTGTGTGTGGCCTAGCATTACTATACTTGTGGGGACCTACATCTGATATTGAGTCATGATTGCATCTAAAGTCTTAACTGACAACTGAGAGCAGTGGACTTGAGCCAAAGAACAACGGCATGCGGACTCTCCCCTGTGTGAAATGCAAATACAGAAGTGTGTGTGTGTGTGTGTGTGTGTGTGTGTGTGTGTGTGTGTGTGTGTGTGTGTGTGTGTGTGTGTGTGTGTGTGTGTGTGTGTGTGGCATGGCGACATGTCCCAGTAGAGACACTATACCAGGCATGGGCAAACTAAGGCCTGCGGGCCATATACGGCCCGTTGGGTTTTTTAATCCGGCCCGCCGAATATTGGTACAAAATTGTACTTAGATGGCGCACTCTAGACACAATTGACCTTTGCTGGAGTCTGGCATTTCACACAGGGGAGAGTCCGCATGCCGTTGTTCTTTGGCTCAAGTCCACTGCTCTCAGTTGTCAGTTAAGACTTTAGATGCAATCATGACTCAATATCAGATGTAGGTCCCCACAAGTATAGTAATGCTAGGCCACACACACACACACACACACACACACACACACACACACACACACACACACACACACACACACACACACACACACACACACACACACACATGCACACACACACACACACACACACACACACACACACACACACACACACACACACACACACACACACACACTTCTGTATTTGCATTTCACACAGGGGAGAGTCCGCATGCCGTTGTTCTTTGTCTCAAGTCCACTGCTCTCAGTTGTTAGAGAAGATAAATACAGTCTTTCAAGGGAGAAAGAAGCTGAGTGTTTAGGCTGACCTGACCTTCATCAATAAGCAGAACTAAACACTGAGCATGTGCTGATCAGCTGTGTGGTTATATTTACTGTGGTTTCACATGTTGTATAGCTGCAGAGGTTAAAGAAGTGTTCAGATGCTTCACTTGAGAAAAAGTACCAAAACATTACTGTCAAAATACTTCATCACAAGTTATAAATATGTACCTAAAGTATTAAAAGTAATCATTGTGCAGAAAAATGGCCTTTATGTGTGTGTATAATTATATTTATATATGTGACATGTATAGATAATATTGCTGCATGAAGTAGCATGGAGACAAACTTTTTGTAAAATATTTAAATGATTGGACTCTTTTGTGACTCAAAGAGTTAGTCATCTGTTTTTAGAGATGCATTTTGTTCCAAGAAGCTGAAGCTGTTGAATAAATGCAGTACCTCACATTTGTGCAGGTACTTTCCACCTCTGTGTGATCAGTCACAGCAGGAGAGTAAACAGTCTGCACTGATCTATGACTGAATGTGGGTCATTCTTATAGTTTTTAGTTTAAGAGCTGCTTTATAGAGCTCCCTCCCCACGATGTCCCTCATCAGGAGAAGCAGAAACACTGAACAGGAAACAGAGCTATCAGGTTATTCACATACAACTATATTAATTGTCAATTTTAGTTTACAGTTTGAAGAATAATATGTGCATTTAACATGTTCATACACATGTAAGTACATTTTTTGTTTGTTTACTTGGGATCAACTTTACCAGTGTCTAGTCTGTGAAAACAGTGACATTTTTTATCGTAGGAACCATCTGCTCTTGATATAAAAGTACTGCAGGAACCCATGTTTGCTTTGCAGGAAGGGTAAGCAAACATTGGTTCCTGTCTTTATATCATGAGCACCAATGGCATTTTTAATAGATGCTGAAATGAAACCCTGGTGGACAGATTGGAGTTGCTTTCCACTTCACATGAACAGAGATGACCATGTTGACCGTGCCACAGAGAAAATGTGAGTATTTTATCTTCAGAAAACACGTTGTATGAGTCATCTTACTGCAGTAAGTGGAGACACGTCACAGAGCAATAATACAAACTAAATGAGACTGTGCATTATGCAGCACTATAGTGCAATGCAACAGGCTAAAAACTGTTGGGGAAGATTTTTTTTTAAATCAAAAAGTCCAAAATTCTCTAACACAAGTTATTTTAAAGTTAAACTTTAAAAGCGCCAAAATGTTCTAATACTCGTCTCTGCGCTTGTCTCCCAGCCTTGCAGCTTTGTTATAAATGAGAGCACTGTCCCTGGTTATGGAAACATGGATCACTGTAAGAGTTTTGTCGTGCTATAAAGTCATTCATCCTCTGTTCTCTGTTTCTCTGGATCGACTTCACATTGTAAATAAAACAATGCTTCAATGTTATGTATGATAATACTAAAAGTGTTTATTTATTGAGCCACATAAATATATATATATATATATATATATATATATATATATATATATATATTAAAACAATATCTTTACTTACACCAACAGTGAAATCCACAAATACAGACATTGACAATAAGTGAATGAGACAGGAACAAAAACCATCAGGTGACACGACCAGATTACAAATCTAAATAACTGACAAAAATAATAAATAATGAATGAATACAATAAAAATATGAATCAATTGAAATGAATGAATGCACAAAAGGACAAACATAAAGGCACTCGGCAATACAACCATTCCCAAGCAGCTATTCACTTTGGCTTTCAAGAACATTCAGCCACATATTAACCAAACGTCTTTCTCCTTTCTACTGCAGCTGACACACATGTTACTTATAGATAAGTAGATTTGCTTATAGTTAATCAGAAAGATCATTTAACTCCTGTACGCCAACTATTATGTTTACCTTTGGAAACCAGAAACCGAGCTGCAACGGCCTAATGCATGATGGGAAAAAGTAAGAAACAGAATGGCACGTCTTAAAAAGATGAAGTGCTGCCAAAAGGACTTCACACATCAAGGGTGTCCTACTGGTTACAACACAACACTTGGGAAACATTAAACATGTTTTGGAAAAACCTTGTAAGTGTTCCTCGTGAAATGAAAGAGATTTCAGTCATGCAAGCGTAAAGAATGTTAAACTTCTGACCAAATATCCAATTCCTCCCCGACAGCCTCAGTCACACAGCTTCTAATGTGGAGAGTGTGAACACAGCAGGAAGGATACACTCTGTCTATCTTCCAGAAACATGAACTGTCCTAACTGTGTGACCATAAGTATAATACCAGCTTCCTCTATTTGGTTAACCTCTTTTCAAATCCCCCATGACCCTCTTGCTTCTGCTGTATATCCTGCAAACATATTAAGTGCTATTTTTGTGGATAATAAATGATGGTCAAACGGTTTGAGTTGCTTGCCGCTTCAGTTACACCGAAGAAAGATAAGGGAGGATGAGCAAGTGACTGCAGGCTTTAAACATATGGTACAGTCAGTGTGTATATTGGAGTAGGGCCAGAGTTTTTAAAACTCAAGATGCTTGATGGATTGGAATTATAATAAATTGTCCCTCGGTAAAGTCATGTCACTGACAAATAAAACAGTTCAAACACATACATATATTTGTTAATGTGCCTCACCTGAAGTCTTTCAACAGGTGTGTAGAGAGGCAGAAGCAAGAGAGGACATTCAGGCAGATTAAATCATTTCAATGATTTATTTATAAAAACAAAGACATGAAGCTACATTGCTGTAGCAAATGCTGTGTGTATAAATATTTCACACAAGGAAACATATCACTTTGTATGACTCCGAATCCCCCTAATCCTTGTCTCATCTCTTAAGACTTGTTTTTTTAACTCAGTTCCTTGTATGTCACTCAGGTTGATGTCTTGGCACTTCCTTGACTGTGAAACATTTGATTTATTTGGACCGGTTAGTGTCACTTGAAGTAATTAAATCTCTATTTCCTTGTATGTTGAAGTGGCTGAAACCAGAACCCTCCCAGACACTGACAGATACTCTTCACCCTTTTGCATTTCTTTACAGAAGGAAAAGCAGTAATATCAGCGGTTTCAACAGTGAAACGTGTCCTGATGATCAATCGGTAGGTTTCACTCTGACCTCTGCGTTGACTGTTAAAAGAATGGTTCGCTGTTTATAAGGTAAAACAGTCATATGCTACAGTCATAATAAATCAGATCAGACAGATGTTTAATAAAAAGCTTGTAAATCACTTTTAAAAGCGTTTATTTTCAAACTTCTGATGAGATAACAATGTTTGCAGGTTGCTCAAACATACCTAAATGGTATAGATAGATGGCTACACACACACACACGCACACACACACACACACACACGCGCATACACACACACACACACACGCGCGTGTGCGCACACACACACACACATACACACACACACACACACACACACACACACACACATTATGTCTTACCAAGTCTTTAATTTATGTCTGAGAAAAGCTTTTATGTTTAAATATGTGTATCGGTCATAAACAGTCATTACTTTGAGTCCTAATTTTCTTCATGTGGGAATAAAAAATGTTGCTTGGCTCTTTTGCATCTTTCTTTGCATTTCATGTGAAAAATGTGTATTAGGTCAGCGTGAATGTTATAACTCATTCATAAATGGACAACGCACACCCTTTCAGTAGTTATCAATGTTAGTAACTCATCAATAAATGGTGATGTGTTTCACACTTTACAATAAGGCTCCCTTTTGATAGTTATAAATGTTATTAACTCATTCATAAATGGTCATAAGGGATGCCAAGAAACATCAAGATGGAAGGGGGAGAATCAACTCAGTGAGCAACAGATACCAAGGATGCTGGCTGATGAAGAAGACGAGGTAAGCTAAGTAGCCAATATAAGACTTAGCAGTACAGATAAATGTGGGCTCACTATTTGGCAAGCAACCGGTCACAGGTGCCCTGTTTATCTCATGTCATATAAAAGCTTATTAATTATTTATAAAGTGTTCACAACCTAATTAATAAATGAATTACAAACTATTCATAAACCCTTTATAAGGGTAGTCTTATTGTAAAGTGGTACCAAATATTCTGTAAAGGAAGTAAAGGACAACAAAAACACTTCCATGGAAAACCCCAGATGACACAGATATTTCTGTAGCCACACCTCCAGAGATATGTTATATATATATATAATGTACCTTCCTTCACACTATCGGAGTCATCTCAGTGTTGGCAGATTTCATGAAGCTCTGATGCAAGATGGTAAGTTTTTTTTTTTTTAAACTTTATAAGGATTATTTCTGAATTTGTTCATCTCTGGAATATTTTCTCATTTAATGGATTACTTTTAAAATGTTGAAAATTGGAGATGAGAAATTGGAATCACAGTTTTCCCAAAGTCTTAAATGTCTTTTTTTTAATATAATTTTCAGTTTGTACTCACATAAAATGTATACAGTAGTTCAGCAAAATCTAAACGTTGTAATGTAGGTAAAATAAAGTGAAATTTAATTAATTTTATTAAATGTTTTTTTTCAAAAGGTTTTATTCAAATAAACGTAATATCTCAAATAAAGTAAAATTATCAAAGAAAAACAAAAATCCAGACAAAATCCAACGTTTTCCATGTTTTATGCGATTTTACAAAAGTACAAATAAATACATGAAACAATTATAGTTCTGCAAAATATAAACGCTATATATATAATATAAATTATATGAAATCTACGGCAAGTTCAAGAGAATTTTGTTAAATTTCTTGTAAATCTGAATACGCAAAATAACTGGAATTATCAAGACGATGCTGCTCCCATGTTGATGCAAAACGGGTGATTCTGCAAACTTTTACTTTTATTGTAACTTTTGCTGACAATGCTTCGGTACTTTTTGTTAAGTAAAGTTCCTAAAACAGGACATTTAGGGAATATTTTATTTTATTACTGCTTCATGACGATGTGAAATGTTAAAATCCAATCTTTTTTTTAGTTAATTTTTTTAATAACCAGCAAATCTACAAGCAGTTTTTCTAAAGGAAGTTTATCCCAGATGTATTCCAGGAAATAAAGCCTGATTATCTTTGTGTCTACACAATGCCGATCAATACAAGTTTAACTTGGGAATGATTCACCAGTGTGTAGAGCAGGGGTCTCCAACCTTTTTTAGGATGAGAGCTACTTTCAAAAATTAAACAAGTCGTGAGATACTTTTACTCCTTGTTTTTTGCAGTGTATATATTTAGCACATTTTAACATTATTATATGCTTACTTTTAACTTGTGTGTGCTGTTTGGGTCTGTGGGACCCGTTTTCAGTGTTTACTAAAAGAAAATTCATTCAAACATTCTTTCTTTTTATTTATGCATATTTTATAATAATAATATAAATAATAAACATATTTGTAAAGTGGGGGGACACAAACGGGATTTCGAAAAGTGGGGGGGACATGTCTCCCCTGTCCCCAGTGGAAATTACGCCATGCGTGTGTGTGCGTCAAGTGCAATAAATATGCAAGTTGCGACACACACACAAAAAACCCTCATGTGTTGTATAGGCTGGCAGGACTAGGCTGTGTTCAATGGGGCTGATGTGTAGATTCTGCCAGAAGGACAATCACGGTCAAACTCCTTATGAAGTGGTGAGGTGCCGCTCCACATTGCTTTTCTTCCTGTCTGCAACGCTGGTCGCGGAAATCAAGCAAGAACGTGATTGGTCGTTATTCATTGTGGGGGGTGGGGGGGGGGAGGAGGGGTGTTAGATAGATATAGAGTTGTTGTAAATAGATAGAGTTCGCTATGATTGAGGTTTCGTTTATGCATAGGGTATATTATTTTAATTACATTTCCTTTTTTTGTGTGTGTATTTTTTACATTTTACATTTTCTTGGCGAGCTACTTATTGAGGGCTTGCGAGCTACCGGTAGCTCGCGATCGACGTGTTGGAGACCCCTGGTGTAAAGGAATGAGTTGTTACCCAGCAAATGACTCCTAAAATAAGCTCAAGAGGTTGTTATCAGTACAATTAGTAAATACTCCACAGGTGATCCCTTCACCACTCTATGAGATAACATTATGATTCCTCTACAAAAAGGTCTGGTTTGAACTGGTATCTCAAACTCTAATGTTTGATAATGCATTGTTCTTTCCCCTCCCAAAAAATACACAGTATGTGACCCTAAAAAGATGGAGTCTCCTGCCCTTTGCCACCATCCTCCTGTCCATCCATCCCACACAAACTGCAGTGGTGAATTCAATGGCTGAATGTCCTGGGTTTGTTCTTGATGAAAAAACACCAAATGTCCCCGACGTCTTGCAGAACGGGACGATCCTGGACCAGAACCGATATAAAGTCATTTGCCAGACCTTCAATAACAAGCCTCAGTTTGTGACTCTCTACGACACCAGCAACAGGATACCAGTGTTTTCTGCTTTCAAGTACAGAGGGACAGATGGAAAAAAGAGTAATAGACCACGTCGTTGGATGATGGAGCCAGAGGTTTGTTTTTCTTTCTCTGACTTCAACTTTCGACTATTGAATGGCGTTAAACTCCGTCCACCAGTTTTTACACATTAAGAGAGAGAGACAGCAACCTCATCAGCAACTGACAGGTTGATTAAGAAAAGTGTTTATTGCATGACAGCAATAGATAATGGGAATATGACGTCATCAACACAAGCGACCGCAACCCATTGACTCTCCATTATGGGGAGCAAAGTAGCGTCACTTTTTAAATGTAACTTTTTGATGGCTGTGATGCCCCAGAATGCACAGCGGCTACCATTCCCTATGACTGGAATTCACATGATAAAATGTCTGATGTAATTACTTCAGTTTGAGTTATCAAATAACTTCCTGGAAGTTTATTTTAACAGCACAAAATAAATACCACTGACTGAGCCTTCTAACTTTTGCAGCTCGAGCCGACGGCAAACCCCATCAACATGAGGAACGATGAAAACCAAAACCAAAAACAGGCCAGTAACTCTGACTATATCTCCAGTGAAAAGAAGTACAATAGGGGCCATTTATTTCCAATGAGTTATGGATATGATGCAAATGACCAAGACTCCACATTCACCTTGACAAACATTGTTCCACAAGTGAAGACTTTCAATGGTGGCAGCTGGGAAAAAATGGAAGAATGTGTCAAATGCATCCTGAACGAACACTGCATCAACAATAATAATCTCCCCGAAGGCTTTGTAGTGACCGGGGCAAAGCCCGGCAACACCCAACTCAAAGAAAGGGTGAATATACCATCCCTTCTCTGGTCAGCATTCTGCTGTTACAATCACAGAATTGAGAAGTATGTGGCGGCTGCATACTGGGGTGACAATGTTCATGAAGAACTTAATTCAATAACACTTGAGCAAAAGACTTTGGCCGAACTTCATAAACATCTGGGATTTGAGGTGTTTCCTGGAACACAGTGTCCTCTTTATGAAACTGGCCTACAAGAGGAACAAAGTAGAAGAAGTACAATAGGTATTTCTGCTTCTTCTTCTCTTTGCCAATGTCTTCCCCAAACTTCAACCACATCTGCCCCTCCCACTACCAAAACTAGCTTTCCCTCTTCCACCGTCTCTACACCCTTGAGCACCACTTTATCTACAACTACAGACAAAACAATAACAGTCCCTACAACCACAACAACAACCACCACAACAACATCGACAAAGACAACAACTACAAAGAAAAAGAAAGATAATCCTGATGATAACAAGGGTGGTGAAGGAGGAGATGGTGGAGGAGGAGGAGGAGGTGCTTTAGGAGGTGCTATAGGTGCTTTAGGATGTGCTTTAGTAGGTGCTATAGGTGCTTTAGGAGGTGCTTTAGGAGGTGCTATAGGTGCTTTAGTAGGTGCTTTAGTAGGTGCTATAGGTGCTTTAGTAGGTGCTATAGGTGCTTTAGTAGGTGCTTTAGTAGGTGTTGTAGGTGCTTTAGGAGGTGCTTTAGTAGGTGCTTTAGGTGCTTTAGAAGGTGCTTTACGTGCTTTAGTAGGTGCTTTAGTAGGTGCTATAGGTGCTTTAGTAGGTGCTTTAGTAGGTGCTGTAGGTGCTTTAGTAGGTGCTTTAGTAGGTGCTTTAGGTGCTTTAGGAGGTGCTTTAGGAGGTGCTTTAGGTGCTTTAGTAGGTGCTATAGGTGCTTTAGGAGGTGCTTTAGGGGGTGCTTTAGGTGCTTTAGTAGGTGCTTTAGGAGGTGCTTTAGGTGCTTTAGTAGGTGCTTTAGGAGGTGTTTTAGGAGGTGCTTTAGGTGCTTTAGGAAGTGCTTTCGGTGCTTTAGGAAGTGCTTTAGGTGCTTTAGGTTCTTTAGGTGCTGTAGGTGCTTTAGGTGCTTTAGGAAGTGCTTTAGGTGCTTTAGGTGCTTTAGGAAGTGCTTTAGGTGCTTTAGGAAGTGCATTAGGTGCTTTAGGAAGTGCTTTAGGAAGTGCTTTAGGTGCTTTAAGAGGTGCTTTAGGTGCTTTAGGAAGTGCTTTAGGAAGTGCTTTAGGAAGTGCTTTAGGTGCTTTAGGAGGTGCTTTAGGTGCTTTAGTAAGTGCTTTAGGTGCTTTAGGAAGTGCTTTAGGAAGTGCTTTAGGTGCTTTAGGAAGTGCTTTAGGAAGTGCTTTACGTGCTTTACGAAGTGCTTTAGGAAGTGCTTTACGTGCTTTAGGAGGGGCTTTAGGAAGTGCTTTACGTGCTTTACGTGCTTTACGTGCTTTAGGAAGTCATTTACGTGCTTTACGTGCTTTAGGAAGTGCTTTACATGCTTTAAGAGGTGCTTTAGGAAGTGATTTAAGTGCTTTAGGTGATGTAGGTGCTTTAGGTGCTTTAGGTGCTTTAGGTGCTTTAATTGCTTTAGGTGCTTTAGGTGCTTTAGTAGGTACTTTAGGAAGTGCTTTAGAAGCTTTAGTAGGTGCTTTAGGAAGTGCTTTTGGTGCTTTAGGAGGTGCTTTAGGAGGTGCTTTAGGAGGTGCTTTAGTTGCTTTAGGTGGTTTTGGTGAATTCTGTGCTTTAAAATGTGCTTTAGGAGGTGCTTTAGGAGGTGCTTTAGTAGGTGCTTTAGGAGGTGCTTTAGGAGGTGCTTTTGGAGGTGCTTTAGGAGGCGCTTTAGGAGGTGCTTTAGGAGGTGCTTTAGGAGGTGCTTTAGGAGGTGCATTTGGAGCTTTAGGTGCTTTAGGTGCTTTAGGATGTGATGTAGTGGGTGCTTTAGTTGCTTTAGGTGCTTTAGGTGCTTTAGGAGGTGCTTTAGGTGCTTTAGTAGGTGCTTTAGGTGCATTAGGAGGTGCTTTAGGTGCTTTAGGAGGTGCTTTAGGTGCTCTAGGAGCTTATTTAGCAGCTTTCGGTTCATTAGTTGCCTTAGCTGCTTTACCAGATGCTTTAGGAATTAATTTACGTGCTTTACGTGCTTTAGGAAGTGCTTTACATGCTTTCAGAGGTGCTTTAGGAAGTGCTTTAAGTGCTTTAGGTGATGTATGTGCTTTAGGTGCTTTAGGTGCTTTAGGAAGTAATTTACGTGCTTTAGGAAGTGCTTTACATGCTTTAAGAGGTGCTTTAGGAAGTGCTTTAGGTGATGTAGGTGCTTTAGGTGCTTTAGGTGCTTTAGGTGCTTTAATTGCTTTAGGTGCTTTAGGTGCTTTAGTAGGTACTTTAGGAAGTGCTTTAGAAGCTTTAGTAGGTGCTTTAGGAAGTGCTTTTGGTGCTTTAGGAGGTGCTTTAGGAGGTGCTTTAGGATGTGCTTTAGTTGCTTTTGGTGGTTTTGGTGAATTCTGTACTTTAAAAGGTGCTTTAGGAGGTGCTTTAGGATGTGCTTTAGTAGGTGCTTTAGGAGGTGCTTTTGGAGGTGCTTTTGGAGGTGCTTTTGGAGGTGCTTTAGGAGGCGCTTTAGGAGGTGCTTTAGGAGGTGCATTTGGAGCTTTAGGTGCTTTAGGTGCTTTAGGATGTAATGTAGTGGGTGCTTTAGTTGCTTTAGGTGCTTTAGGTGCTTTAGGAGGTGCTTTAGGTGCTTTAGTAGGTGCTTTAGGTGCTCTAGGAGGTGCTTTAGGTGCTTTAGGAGGTGCTTTAGGTGCTCTAGGAGCTTATTTAGCAGCTTTCGGTTCATTAGGTGCCTTAGCTGCTTTACCAGATGCTTTAGGAGGTTCTTTATGGTGCTTTAGTAGGAGGAGGTGTGTGTTTGTGTTTGTGTGTGTGTGTGTTTGTGTGTGTGTGCAGCTGCAGCTGCAGCAGTATCTGATGTAAAGTTTTGTTTGTGCACGTGCAGCCGTGCATAAACAGCTAAGCTAATGTGGAAGTTGAGGCGAGACGTCAAGACATCTCACACACACACACACACACACACACACACACACACACACACACACACACACACACACACACACACACACACACACACACACACACACACACACACACACACACACACACACACACACAACACACACACTCACTCACTCACTCACTCACTCACTCACTCACTCACTCACTCACTCACTCACTCACTCACTCACTCACTCTCACACATACAGAAACCTCCCCGTGGTGCAGCCTGGGATACGCTGGTTGAATGAGACATACATCCAAGAGGATATAATCTGATACTGCCAGTAGGCCAATCTCTGTATACTTACCTACGCAATCAAATGATGAAGATGCCTGCCGGATCTCTACAGCGTCACATATACCCGCCCCTCTCTGGAACCGCACTGTCAATCGTCTCAATCAACATCGAAGGTTTCTCCGGGTGCAAGGCAGAGATACTGGCAACGATGGCCAATCGTTTTGACATTTCCCTCCTCTGCATCACTTACAAGCTCTACGAGAGGCTGCTACTCCAACGCCAAGCTGACTAAACACCAAGCTGGTTTCCGTCCTGGCCGCTCCTGTGCTGGACAGCTACTCAACCTCACCCAACACATTGAGGATGGGTTTGAAGGAAAACAAATAACTGGAGCAGCATTCATAGATCTTTCTGCTGCCTATGACACTGTCCAACACCGTACAATGGTCAGGAAACTACTGTACATGACTGGGGACCTGAATCTGTGTCAAGTCATCAAAAGCCTCCTCAACAACAGGCGCTTCTACGTCCAGTTAAATGACCAGAGGAGCAAGTGGAAAGCCCAAAAGAACGGCCTCCCACAAGGTAGCGTACTGGCCCCCCTCCTGTTCAACATATACACAAACGACCAGCCATTACCCCCAGAATGCCAGCGTTTCATCTACGCAGATGACCTCTGCATCACCACCCAACAAGTAGACCTCCAGAAGATTGAGCCTGTCCTTGAAAGTGCCCTCCAAGAAATGTCAAGCTACTACAATAACAACCACCTGAAACCCAACCCATCAAAAACCCAACTATGCAGCTTCCACCTGAGGAACCGAGACTCTAAAAATGAACTGAGCGTCACCTGGGATGGCCACAAACTGTCCAACCATACGCATCCCATGTATCTTGGTGTTACACTGGATAGGACACTCTCCTTCAAGAAACACCTGGAGAACACCAAAGCCAAGGTCAACACCCACAACAACATCCTGCGCAAACTAGTGAACTCCAAGTGGGGCGCAGATCCAGCAACAATCCGTGCAACTGCCATGGCCCTGTGTTTCTCTACAGCAGAGTATGCCTGCTCAAGCTGGAGCCCATCACGCCACACCAAACTGGTCGACACAGCCTTGAATGACACCTGCCGCATCATCACGGGATGCGTTAAGACAAACACACACAGAAAATCATGAATATGGTAAAAGATAATGTTTTTTATGTATTTTGCTGGGATATTATTATTGGTAGTATGTTATTTTCATAATATAAGCTAAAGATGGCTAATGTTGGGCTATAAAGGAACTACAGCACGGTCACATGACTTCACGTCACCACCGCTAAGCTAAAGGAGGCTAATGTTGAGCATGATGACGTTTAGTCGTCTCATTTACACACTCATTAGCATCCTCCGTTTTTAAATCCACCAGTGAGGTATTTACTGACGTATTTTATGTCGTGGAACAAAAATCTCTTCAGCTTGTGTTAACCACAGACCTTATTTCAGGCATACAACCAAACACACATTCAGAAAACCATTGACTTCCAGACCAGGGGACAGGAAGTGATAATACTATCAAAAATAATGTCAATATCAAATAAGTCAATACTGTGGGTATTGTCCACAGCATTGACTGTTATATTGTTGACAGTTCTGCTGTTTAAGTGGCCGTGTCAGACCTGACCTTTACCTCACCTACCTCTATTAAGCTTACCATTGATAAAAAGATGCTAAATTGGCTGTGAATGGAAAGGATGTATGTTTCCTTCATGTTGTTTCAGGCATATGAAACCAGGCATGTGAAACTAGACAGAACCTTCTGAACTTTTGACCTATACACATTAAACATTCTAGATGGTGCAATAAAAGCCTAAAAGTTCCAGATACCATTCAGAGAAGGCGCTTGTTGTTTTAGACACATTGAGAGCGGTTACAGCGGGTATGAAGACAATGAGGCACAGGATGCAGACGACCTATGCACAGATTCGAATCAACATCCTGGGCCCGCGAATCGTAGAGACAAGCTGTCCTTATTTGTCTCTGTTAATAAATGAAGTCTCTGTTAATGAATTAAAGTATAAAGTTTGCATATTTGAAATTGAAATGTTTAAAGAAAATAATTTGATTCTAAAAACATGACATTGACAATGTGTTCTGCTTTCATGAAAAATGTTCATATTCCCGCTCTTTAAAATGACATGTCAGTACTATAAGTTTGTATTTGTTTAATTTTTAAACCTTACATTTTTGAATGTTCAATAATTAAAAGTTGAACAGTTGTGACCTCCTTCTGACTGAAAGAGAGAAAGGGGGAGACCACCTGATGCAGAGAGGGAGGAGGAAGAGGACTATAAAGAAGGATGGAGAAGAAGGAACGAGACATTTGACTTGTGAACCTGTTGCTATTGTATTATGACTTGGTGTCTTTGTTATTTTTTAAGGGTTCTTTTAATCCTCAATTTTTGTTAAAACCTTAATAAAACCGGTTTGTACTTTGTACATTTCGACCCAACTCCTGGTCTTTCTCTCGTGGTCTCTGAAGGTATCTGCTTGGTCTTAGAGTGAGGTAAGAACACCCTTCCGTGGAAAAGGCTGACATTAGTTGATCATTTGGGTTTAAATTGTTTAAGGGGAATATAAACTCTGCTAAGGTTAAACCATAGTTTCACATTGGTTTCTGTGGTTGAGGTGGTTATGATGAATGTTGAAATATGACATATGCTCTGCTGATGTGGTAATATCACTGCTGTGACATTAATGTTTGACTGGCTGTGTTTGATATTACATTTGCATTGTTTTGATTGATATATTTGGGGATCAAGAGAGGGTGGGGTTAGGGATTGTGGGTTCTGAAGCTGCCCTAATTACCAGGGAGTCTCCCATTAACAGAGGGATTCTCCTCCAGGGGCAGTTTAGATACTGCTCTGGGGTTGTACCAGCCCACCAACACCTACTACACTATACACACCGTTTTGCTATCCTGGCGGTCGGAGACCGACGCTTTAGTGCCTGAAATAAGTGATACGACGAGAAGCGTGGTGTTAGAGGCCACGCTGTAGACGCCCCCCTAAGCAGATTACGTTGATCTTGCGTGTAGATTCTTGGGGGTTTAGTCCTAAAAAGATTGGACGGCCGTTCACCGGAGCCTTATCAGCACCGGAGTTCGGTATCGGAGACGGCCTAGATATTAACATTGGTTGTATCCAAGTTAGATTCCTTTTCATGGCGCCCGAACAGGGACCTCTAATGCGGCTTTCACACCAGCGCTTTTCCCTTTCTAGCTCCTAGCGAGAGCTTTTCTGGTTCAGCTCCGGTTTCCCTTTTCAGCTCCCGCTCTGTTCACACCGCCCAGAGCTGCCGCTGCTGCGTCATGACGTCACAGTTTACGTCGCTGATTTCCTCCCACAACAACAACGGGCCGGGGACTGCGTCGGGTCGATGATCGTGTTGCTTTTAATCATACGAAGCCAGATTAAATTAAATAACGACTTCTCCAACCTTATACTTTTCTCCAGAGTGCCGTGGTTCATTGTTTATTAATGTGTTTCAGCGGCATTTACCGACCGCTGCAGTGCTGGCTGCTCTTCCACGGGAGTTTATTCTCCCGTTAGCTCCGGGTTAGCTCACACGGCTCTAAAGTATTCACTGTCTGACTGTCACACAAGCAGCTGATACATATCCCCAGTTCCCCTTAAGTGAATGTGTGTCAGTCTGAATTGACGCTGTTTGGCATCACAACGCTGTTATGAAAGTTTCTCTGGTATAACATGGGTGATGTTAGCATAGCAACCGAAGCTAAACTGACTACTTGCTAAGCCGTTTTCTACAGGCACATTTTACCGGCGTATTTTTCATTATGATTCTACTTGTGATAGTCGGACGTGACAACCTGTACAGCCCATGTATTAATTCCATCCGATAGCTGCTATAATAACAAACAAAACGTCTGCCTGCTCTCAACAATGATCAATAACAGCGAACGGATGGTCAAAGTAAGGTTTCCTGCACGCCTCGACGTAAGAGACGCCGCGTCATAGCGCCGAAGCTCTTGCCTCTGGACCGACAATCTTTTGGAGCTGGAAGTGAACCGCATTCCGGAGCTATGATGCGCCGCCGCTGCGGTGTGAACAGGAAAAACCGGCGCTTTTCCAGCTCCAGCTCCGAGCAGGAGCTGGAAAAGCGCCGGTGTGAAAGGGGCATAAGAGTTAAAAAAGAACCTTAGGTCCGAAGAGAAGAAAGTGAAAAGTGTTAAAGTCGCTCGATTTGATCTGCTTTGCCTTACTAAGTCTGGCATTGGTAAAGAGGGGGGACGCCCTTAAGTAGGATCCTTAGAAACAGTGCAAGCAGGAGTGAAGCACCCCGTGGGGAATTTTAAAATGCTGGACGCAGCGGAAGAAAAATGTTACCGAGCTAATAAAATAACCTGAAAGTAGCCTGGTAAAGAATACCTCTTTTCCTAACGTAGTTGTACATAAGAGACCTCTGTGAAACCCTAGAATCCGGTTACTGGAGTGATATAGAAAACGGAGAAGGAAGGAAGGAACTGAAAAAGGGATAAAAGCTAAGAGATAAGGAACACATTTTTCTAAGAGATTAGTGAAGGTGAGGAAGCCCGATAGAGGAAACAGGGAGGTTGATAAGTTAGCAAGGGAGCGGCCAGCTAGCCTGGGGCCTTTTATTATACCTGGGGAATGGAAAGAAGGAGAAAGAGTGAGAGTTCCACCGCCCGACCTTAGCTCATGTAGGGGCAGATAGAGTGGTCATGTGTATGAAAAGCCATAGCATTTATATACCTGAGGCAAGGGAGATAGTGATAAACTTTAGAAAAAGTTGT